GGAAATTGTGTTTAACGTAACGCTCCTCTTTGTTGCACCACAGTTGTCCATTTCTTTTTTCTTCCTAAAACCTCTTGTTTATTTACCACAATTGTTTGCGCACGGCAGAACACTGAACTTTAAGGGTTCTTTTATATTTCTTCAGTTTTGTGTTCAATTGCAGGCTATAAGTCATGCATGTATTCTGTGAAGTCTTTGCTTAGGTATGGAGTTTAACAAGAAATAAGGGTCTATTCGAGGGGATTGATGGTTAGGGAAGTGAAGGAGGTAAAAATTATTTATTTTTGGGTTAAATATTGATGCGAAGGTGAGATGAAGGGAAGGTTTCCTTTAAAATCCTTTGTTTGGTAACATTTTTAGGAAGAGGCAAGTTTTCTAATAAAAGCTTGGTGGCCCCAAAAATACGTTACACCACCCCAAAGGCAGAAAGCTAGGTGGGATTTGCCAAAATCTGCCCCTATGTGAAATTCACAGTTGGTGTTTTATAAATTTATATATCAATTATGATGTTTCAAATATATTTAGATTTTTATTTGATTTTTGTATATAACAAAATATATGGCTAATTTCAATACTAATTGTACTCTTTTTGAGTTTCCTAATTGTACCTCTTCTATGCATATGGGGTTGAGGAATTATAGGTGTGTTCATGTTTTCATCAATTATGCGCATTTTCTTGCATAAAAGTGTAAGCATATGTTGACCCTTGGGATGCACATAAATAGCAGCTAGTTGAGGTGGGCATACATATATATCTCTCAAGAAAAATAATATGTTCTTTGTATATATGGCATAATAAAAATTGTATTAAGTGTAAAACTGTCATATACCTGTTTGTATTTGTGGTAGAAGTTTGGTATTGCCATTGGTGTTTAAATGATATTCTACTCAATAACTAAACAGAATCCTAGGGTTAATTTAGTTATGCAGCACTTGAAAGCTACTTGGGACTGAGTTTCAGTCCTAACTCATAAGTTGAGAACATAAAATAAAAGAAACCCAGCAGTGGGAAGCAGAATCAATTATGAAACTAAATAGCATACATTGCAATCTTGATTCTGAAACTACCATGCAATCTCATGTTAGGATCTACATACAAAAGAGTAAGAAAACCAGGAAAACAAGTCTTAACCAGAATCTGGGCTTATGGCCAAGCACTCTGCATCATTCCAAGGTTGGAATGCATTGTCTTGTGAAGATTTCTGGCACAAAAAGTAGAAGAATAAAGTTAATCAGAAAATAGAATAATCTGACAAAATAAAAAGAGAATAAGCAAAAACTCCTTTTTTAGGGATTATTTCTCTTGTGCTCGACGTAAGTAATGCTTGACCTGTCATGACAGACTATATACTATGATCAAGTACTAAGTTTTCAGAAGGTCTAGTCGAACTACAAATGAGATGTCAACTGTATTTGGAAATTTCCTACACTAATTGAGTCTAAAGAGGAAGACATTGTCAAGAAAAAGTCCAACTGGGTATTTGTGACACTTTTTTTAAAGAGCATCAGTAATTTTCATAGATATTGGATTCTTGTGTAATCAGTTCAGATCTGTGGGTTACTATTTGCAGTTATCCCCATAAATCTCATATAAAAGCAGAAATTGTTATTTTTATTCACTGATCCATCACACTCATAAACTAACATGCCATAAGTAACAACATATAAATTTCCAAAGCTCGAAATTGAACATGCAACTGACTGACCTCAAGCCAAAAGAAGAAACCTCGTAAAAGGTTCAAAAGTTTTGGTTTATCATCCTGGAATTGCGAGAGTTGTCTTCTAAGACCTGCAAGTCGGTAAAAAACGACATAAAAAATCTGATAAGTCACGATTAATGAACAAGAAGGCGCTGCAGTAAAATTTTCATGAAAAATAACTAAATATAAGACCCCAAAAAAGGGGACACCTTTAGCTTTGTAGAAAAACTAATCTCAAATATATTTTTACAGCAATTTTCAGAGCACGTATGTTTATACCTTTTAAAACAAGATAAAATACCATTATAACAGCCACAGAAAATGACAACCAACAAACACCAAATGTAACAGATTCATACAAACACATTCATACGAGACACTCAAGGTTTTAAAAACTCACCAGAATGATAATCGAGATAAGACTTTCCAGATTTGTCTGTAGCGCTTGATCTCTCCCTCCCATGGCGTAATTCTCTATGGCGCTCTTCTGGCTTAGAGAGTTCCACATCAAACCACAGCTTCTCGTACTCTTTTTCATCATAAGGCTTTTTAAGAATATCCATAAGCTGCCGCCTAAATTCAGACTATATTGCACAAGAAGATGGAAATTCAAGAAAAGTCTCATTGCATAAATTCAAGAACAGTCCCATTGCATAAAATCTTATGGGAATAGTTCAGCTGTTAAAACACTCTTTAATGTTTAGCCTAATCACTCTATTACCTTCCAAAACTACAAAAACACCCCTTGAAGATGAAATTTTGCCAGAACATCTCTCTTTTAGTAAGGCTATATATTGAGAGTAGATATTCGTAGAAAGGAAAAACAAAGAACGTCGGTCATCTTTTCAAATTACGCACATTTTTCTCATCCTCCAACAGTCACTTTCAAAAGGGGACTGCTGGCAAATAACGACAAACCTCAAGGAAATGTTTGTGATCTTAAAAGATGAGTGGACTTCGTTTGCATCTAAACTTAAACCTCAAGGGCTATAATAAAATAAAGTGTAAATAGTCAATTACTAGATCGATGGTTGACTAGTAAAACGGAATACGAAATAGTACTTACACTGTTATTTACACTCGAATTTCCTTTGTTAAAAGTCGCACCATCCAAAATTTCCACCTCATCATCCGAATCCTCATACACAACACTGTGAGGCCGAAAAATATAACCCATACCATCCACGACATCAACCGCCTGCAAGAAGGCGCCATACTCATTATCCACATTTTCCTCTTTACATAATTTCTTCATATTCTCTACTCTCTCACTCCTCAATTGCCTCTGACTCTGACTCGAATTCTCTACCTCCTCACTCGAATCCGACTTCGGAAAATCATGTCCCCGTTTATTGGGGGTTTGGTTATTCTTTTTCTTGGCGCTCCTCAATTTCCTCTTATAGTCCAAATCACGCTCCTCGACCAAACTCTCATCGTGTTCATATTTAATGAACAAAGGCGAGCAACTTTTCTGGCTTTTAACCATGCAATAGTTCCCATTCACCATCAGACATTTAACGAAAGCTTCAAGGTGAGGATCTTTCTCCTCCTCTTCGCGCGCATCATCATCATCACCATCCCCATCGTCAAATTTGTCATTTTTTGTTTGGTCTTCGATGGGTTTAACCCTTGATATCACAGTTAGCAAGCCAGAAAGTAATCTTTTATAATCATCGTCCGTGGATTCATTAACCTTTAGCATATTCATCGCATGTTCAATAAGTTCACTCTCCATGGTGGGGGCAGATTTACATACCGCCTCATCATAGGGTTCCAAATCATATAATTCCTTCAGATAAGCATGTTGCGTGTCATCTCGAAAAAGTTGATTCGACATCATCAATGAATCTCCCTTTCTAAATTTTGTATGCAAATATGCAATCACTATCAAGATTGTGTTTTTCCCCTCTGCATAACAGAAGCATAATCAAAATCTTGAGCACAAATGCACAAGTATAGAGCAGACTATCATCCCAACTTCTTTCCAGTGGCTCACATTGAGTAATAAAAGCAAAATGTCACAGGTTCATTACCAAGATTTTGGATTTTAAGTTGCTTTTCCCAAAATTTGCAATCTTTGAACAGTACACTATTAAAAGGCAAAAGATGGGAATTTTTTATTTTTTTTTTAATTAGCGGCCGAATTTAAGAATCTTGAACAAATACTCCTTCATCACAGAATAATGGGAATAAAAGGAAGCCCAATTTATTAAAAACTGAATTTGGCTATATATTTGGTATACACACATACACAACACAAACAAACACATTATTCACACACACGCATGCTGACCCGCGATAAAACCATATCTAAAATTCAGTCTATTGCACGTTCAATAACACTCGAAGGTCCAGAAAGAAACAAAAAATCAACAAGAAAACCGAGTTTCTGTGATTCAATGCCACTACAAAGTAGAAAAGTACACACACTGGGAGAGAGAGAGAGAGGGAGAGAGAGAGAGAGGGGGGGACCTTATGCGGACTCCTGGATTTGGGATTGCCTCTAAACCCAAGACTGTCTTCCACTGTAGTAAAGTGTCGAGACTCTCGAGGGAGAGAATATTAAACGTCTTTCTGAACTCTAATTTTACTCGATAGCCAGTCCTAGTAAAAGTCGATAAAAATCTTTATAATTTGTACCGGCAAGAATGCTTAGTTCCAGTTTGCGTAAGGCTTTGGGGTCTTCACGCTTTTGGACTCCGGATAATGGACCGGCCCACAAGATAGAGAAAACCACTTTTGAAAAGGTACGTTTCCATGTTTATGACAATTTTATGGAAAATAATAGTAATAATAATAATAATAATAATAATAATATAAATTTTAAAATAAAATCATACATAAATCAATTGTAAACTAATCATAAATCAGTAAATAATATAATTTAAAAATCAACGAGAAAAATAAACAACAAATCGACCGTTCATAAAAAATAAAATTTATTATATTTATAATTGAAAAGAAAATATTTGTAAGTATGTAAATAAAATAAAATTTGGAGGTGAATAATGTAATTTTTCTCTTGATAAAACACACAAGTAATTGTAAGTCTTCCCCTAATTGGATATAAAATTTTCGGTTGTGACTAACTATATTTTTTTTTAACTAAAAAATACAACTCAAACTTAATTCAACCAAGCTTTTTTCAATATTATCATTATAATTAAATAATATCAATCAATCATTCTCACACGTCACATCATATTAACTCACTTACAATTTTAAGTATCAATCACTTCAATTCATCCCTCTCATACTTTACATCACATCATATTATTTCACTATTCATTCACTTAGAATTTTAAGTATCAATCACTTCAAATTATCTCTCTCATACTTTACATCGCATCAACTTTATTATATTTTAAATATTATCTAAATATAAACTCAAAATTTCACTCAAACTAAATTCAGTCAATTTTTTAAATAACATCACTTTATCCAATAAATTTAAAATAACTTATATCCGATCGGACACTTAATAAAAATATACACAAGTTTTATGAAATATGGTAACTATCAATTCAAGTCTTGAAAAATAAAATTTATCTACACAAGTTTTAAACGGCTTTTTGCTCTCAAAAGAGCTTTTTCTTCCAATTAGCTCCTTTTACTTTTTTAAACAGCTAAAAAATGTGTTTGATAAATAGCGGTTACAAACAGTTCTTTTGTGCCCGTCCGCCAAATTAATAAACGCTGCTTTTAGAAGCGTTTTAGTTTGGCGGTTCCCTGTATAAAAATCAATGTCTTAAGTTGTACTTCTCATTACGTAAGTACTGAATATATATAATAAAATAGGGGTCTTTGCTAATTAGTTTTAAAACTTTGGATTTCGTAGCTACAAATTAAATTTTGCTTGCTGCTTGGCGTCTATGAGCTAGGGACACGTGTGAAAAGTGAAAACCATTCCAAATTTTAAAATTAATCGATGGATATGACACGCCAATTTTGGGCATAAATGATCTTTAAATTGATTAATTCTAAATAAATTACAAAACTGTTATTATTGAATTTGTGTGTAATAAGACTACTTTTGATATACACTTATAAAATCACAAAACTAATTTTAAAAACTTTAACGAAACTTTTAATTATTATGTTAAAATTATTTGTAGATCCTAACCATATACATCCTTAAATACTTATACTTTTGAGGATATTCTGATGTCAAGAAAAAAAAATATTATATATGACATGAACTTATTTATTCGATTATGAAATATTTGTATTTTATTATTATTTATATTTTCTATCATATTTAAATCAATTTAATAAATATTAAAAATATTAATTATTTTATTTCCCAAATAATTATAAGTTCAATATAAATTAGAATGTGAAAGTATGTTGATGTCCTTATAAGTAATTTTACATGTTAACAGCTAATTAAAAAAATTAATTTTACCAAACATTTTTTTACAAACCGCTAACACGATCAGCTGGTCAAAACAACTAATACAATCTGCTGGTCAAAACGGTTAATATAAACAGCTAACAACTGATTACCAAACAAAGCCTTAAGATTATCAATTTAAACTCTAGTTTATATCAACCTACGGCTCAAAAGATGAGTCAACTATAAAAATTAAAATATAAAATCTATTGGTTTAGGACCTAAAAGATTTTAAATTATAAAAGCTCAACACACTTATTATACTCTTCCTAATAGTTGATGATACGACCATCGAGAAGATAAATAAAAAAAATGCATTGGATATAAATAAAAACTAAAAAAATTGATGAAAAAATAATTAAATTTCTGTTCCGATCTCATTTTTATTTCTGTATGTGACCGGGGTAAAAGGTTTATGTTTTTTCATCTTTATTTTCTTTTATATTTTTTATTCATGTTCGCATGTTTCTTATTACTTATATTTTTCCATCTCTTTTTAGTGTTCATTTATATTAAAATATTTATATTTATTTTCTTAACAACTATATTTAGAGTTTTAAATTGATAATTTGAGATATAGAAGTCCCTAATCCATAGATTTAATCTTTGATGTGATTGTTCACGATGCTTCACTCGAAATGATAGGTTTTAAGTTAATTTAAGATCAGATTATAATGTACATATATGATATATGGAGATGAAGTCCATAAACTTTGATTTATTCGCTTACAAATATTACTTTTACTTTTAAAGTTGTCTCTTTGATTGAAATATGATTCTACAATCATTTATGCTATATACCCAAATTAAAATATTGAAAGTTGCCCATTACATCCATGTTATTATATAAAAATCACTATTCCCACTCTCTTTGGCGAAGCCAAAAGTTTAATCATACACACTCACAAAAATCAAAATGGTAGCAATTTCAACTCGAATACTTTTTNTTTTTTTTTTTTTTTGTACTTAAACCATAACAATGAATGTTGATTAATCAACCCTAACACCCACTCATAACTCGCAAGTAAATATCATTCTACGCAAGAAAACACAACACGCAATACATTCCCAATTGGCACCTCTTTACAGAAATCCCCTTCGAAAGATCTGAAGTCTATACCAAAGTAACCAAAAGCAGGTAATAACACCTTCCCTTGGGGTACAATATACATCTCAGAAGAAGCATGTACTCTGTAGTACAAAATACAACACCTAAGTCAGTCAATTCCATCAATCAACAGCATAAAAATGTAGTCACAGCTACTTTACGAAAGCAGAGACCAAAATCCGCAAAAAAATGAAAGATCAGCCGATTTTCAACCCTTTAGAAGTCAAATTCTCCTCATAATTCAAAGTCTTGGCTGCATTCAGAAGCATATCCACTCCACCCGACTTATGTAAAACCTCTTTTCCCTTTAGTTTCTTATCAAGCCCTCCCTTTCTCTGCATACTCGCATAAATCCTCTTCGCTTCTTGTATACGAGCCATCCCACTTTCGCAATTTACACAAAACCACTTCCCTTTTGGTACAGAATCCATAGACGGGACCATACAGTAAATGTGATACGCATGATCACACCCATCACACAACACAATTTTATCATCATCCCTGTCAGTCAAGCAGGCCCTACATAGGCAAGACGGGCAGTACCAACACTGCCCGTGAGATACCAACTGCTGACCTGTCAAGCACTTCACGTGGTAAAACGTGTTGGGACATTCCGAATGTCCGCATATTATATATTCTTCTTCACTTCTAATCTCGTTCATGCACACCTTGCATTTGGTGTGAAATCCATTCGATCTCTCGTCTAAATCCTCTGTGATGCTGCCGTCATGCAAAATATTGAGTTTGTAAGTGGCATCGCCTGATTGAAAGGATATAGTGGAGTTGAGCCTCTCGCAGGCTACACAGTTTTCGTGGGGGGACTCTTCGTTATCTTTGGATGTGCAATCTGCACAGTACCAGTTAGTTGTGGGAATTTCTTTGACGGGAGGCTCGATGCACGAGATGTGATACATGCCCTCACACGAGTCGCAAACGAGGCCGTTTCTGTCATCTGCCTCTTGTCGGCACCTTCTGCAGGTGTGGGCCCCGTCTGAGGTGTGTGCGTCCGTCTGCTCTGTTTTGGTGCTTGGGATGGGTTCTTGTGAGGGGAACTGTTATCATCAACAAAAAAGATAATCAGAGTTCAATGTCTTGATGTGTGTGTGTGAGTGGATTTTCTTTTCCCTTGGACCCTGAGTGATGAATCTGTTGTTCCCGGTGTTTCATTTGGATGTATTTATTATCTAGAAAGGTGTACGCAATTTTTCATTGAGGGTTTTGAAGACTTTTGATCGCAAGAAATGAAATATATTAATGAAATGAAGAAGTAATGTGTGAAGAACTAATAGATATTTTTTATTTACTTATGCAGATAAAGTTGATGTGTCTAGCGGAGTTCAAAAGTAGAGACAATATAGTAACAGGGATCCAAGAAACCGAAGATGAATAACAGTACTAAAAAACTAAGAGAATTCTAGAACTTGGAATAGATAATGCCAAGTAAGATGTTACTGGAGATAACACGGACAAATATTATTTGAAGCATCACAGATTCACAGTTTGTAGTTTTTTCAGTTTTAATATAAAGAGAAATCAAATCAAGAGAAACAATACACAAATGTCTGTGAAAGTTTTTCTGCTCATCTTCATATTTTCTCATTAAAATCCAAAAGTTGAAGGAATCATTCACTTTTTAGAGTATATTTCAATGGAACAGTATAACAAGAGACCCAGTTAACACATTACCTGTTCATGAAAGGAAGACAATGTTTTATCTGAGAGGCACTTTGCAAGAGCAGTTATATCAGAACCAACCTTCTGAAGTTTAGCCCATACCTACACAAGAAATCAAGGACCTGAGGACTTAATATATATACATCACATAAAGATAAAAAAAAATAGTCCCCAACTCCAAATACAACACCGGCACTGGACCCATAACTGCCAGTCCGCACACACTTCAAACAGGAAATTTATTGTGCTGAAAGAAGACCATTATTAAACAATTATCAGATGAAACCTCCGGATAAGTACCTCCTGGATATCCGAATGAAATAGCATTGGTGAACTTTCATAAGCATTCTCCTTCATCCTTGAGTTTATTCGGGTAAAATTAAAAACATTACCAGTCTTCAATCCTTGAAAATTTTCAAGGAGTAAGCTGCATAACTGCGCAAATGTTTCAGACATTAGAATGTCAGAAAGGGTTCGCTGACAGAGCTCTGTGAATGGGCAATGCTTAGATTCATCGCCATATCCTTTGGGTTTCACACCCACATAGCTCCCAGCTGCCTTTTGGTGACCATTTAATGTCCCAGGCTGTGAGATGCATTTGCTACAATCTTCACTATACTGACCTGGTTCCTGTACAATGGTAATGATATTTGAGAAAAATCAATAGAGGGTTTTCTGGTTTCTCAAAAGACAAAGAGACCAATTTCAGTCTCAGAATGTACGCAATTTGCATGCATGGTACCAATTCCAGTCTAGTAACCCAAAAACAGG